TGTTGTGGTGACCCCCATTTTCATTGTTACAAATTGAACATCATTAAAGCATAGTGATTAATCGCAAAAACAATATGTAATTATCTATGTGTTTTCCGATGGTCTTAGGCGACCCCTGTGAAAGGGTCGTTCGACCCTAAAAGGGCTCACGACCCACAGGTTGAGAACCGCTGCTCTAGACCTTTTCCAACTCGAACTGTCCCGATAAGCAAGAATTTACGTTTTTTTCCTTCCCACAGGGCTGTGAAGAATGGACAATTATGGCCCGAGCTGGTTTGGCTCAGTGGATAGAGCATCAGCCTGAAGGACTGAAGGGTCCCGGGTTCGATTCCGGCCAAGGGCACATGCCTGGGTTGGGGGCTCCGTCCCCAGTAGGGGGTGTGCGAGAGGCAGCCGATCCATGATTCTCTCTCATCATTGATGTTTCTCTCTCCCTCTCCCTTCCTCTCTGAATTCAATACAATATCTATTAAAAAAAAAAAAAAGAATGGAAAATTATGCTTGTTTTGTGAGTGTATTTTAACACAATTTTCTCCTGCCGGTTCCCACGTGCCGGCCAGCAACCCAGCCTCCAGGTCCGGCCATGGGCACCTGGACTAGAATCCGGCCCCGCCTGGGTCCTCACTCCTGTGGGTGCAGGTTCACTGCCAAGTGCCTCAGAGTCGGTCCACGCTGACCGCCCAGCGAAGACACCGCAATGTTCCGTTTCCCAGGGCGGCAGCCACGGTGAGCATCGCCGCAGGGACAGCTCGGGCACCTGGACTAGAATCCGGCCCGGCCCCGGGTCCTCGCTCCTGCGGGTGCAGATCCACTGCCACGCACCTCGGAGTCGGTCCACGCTGACCGCCCAGCTTAGACACCACAATGTTCTGTTTCCCAGGGCGGCCGCTACTGCCCGGGTGGGGCCGCGGGAAGCAGGTGGCCCAGGCCAGGCCAGGCCACAGCCACTCGGTACTCACTGGTCGTGCCTGGTGTCGGGGATGGCCCTGTCCATCCGCAGCTTGTCGCTCTCCACTTGGTTGAACTTGTTTCGGGCGTAGGGGTCCTGCCCGGAGCGGACCATGGTCCCCCCGACGTACGCTTCCTGGTTGAAGTCTCGCCACCGCACTTTGCCTGTGAGGAGCAGAGCAGAGGGCGTGGGACGGGGCACGGAGACCAGCGGGAGGGCGCACCCCGGGGACAGTGCCACATCCCGGCTGGATTAGCGCCCAGCCCGGCCGGCGTGGCTCAGTGGCTGAGCGTCGGCCTATGAACCAGGAGGTCAGGGTTCGATTCCCGGTCAGGGCACATGCCCGGGTTGCGGGCTCCATCCCCAGTGTGGGGCGTGCAGGAGGCAGCTGATCCGTGATTCTCTCATCATTGATGTTTCTCTCTCCCGCCTCTCCCTTCCTCTCTGACATCAATACAAATACATTTTAAAAACAAATAAAGGAACAATGATGCAAATCTATGAAAATGAACCTTCCAAGGATTAACACCACAAAACACGTGGACACCCAAGTGCTCAGAGTCACACACGTGGGTCTCAGATTGGAGACCTCTCGGGCGCTGACAGATGTCCCCTCCGGAGACCTCTGGGCATAGACCTGCCACCACCCGCAGGTGGACCAGGGCAGGGAATGCCTTTGCCGGGGCGGGTCCCATGGGGCCGGGGCAGCAGAAGACTCTTGATTCTACACTGGCTTCCCCCGACTGAGCTACAAGTCTTCCCTCCAACCCTCCCGGGAAGACGGGCTTAATGAACTGCAAACCCCGTGGACACGGAGCAGCCGCTCCTGGGAAAGTGGCCAAGAAGGGAAAGAGAATATATTTTAAATCAAAGGACAAAGCTCTCAGATTTATTTATGGCCTCCTGGTCGGCGGCCAATTGAATGCCATTTCACTGTGCTTAAAAGGGAAAAAAAAATCCCCGATATTCTCCCTCTAAAAGGTCATTACGCGACAGCATGAAAGAGACGCCAGGAGGACAAACAAATATATCCATTTAAATGACGGGGACCTCGAAGAGCACTTCGTTATGTGTCACGGGATATCTGGCGAGATAGAACTTTGCTCACCCGTGAGAAACTGTCTTCTGAAAGAAGGATCCTGCCCAATTCTTAACCTTTTTTTTTTTTTAATTGTCACCTGAGGCCATTTTTCCATTGATTTTTAGAGAGAGTGAAAGGGAGGGAGGAGGGGACGGGAGAGAGAAACATTGATGCGAGAGAGACACACCTATTGGTTGCCTTGCACACGTACCCTGACCACAGCAGGGGATCCAGCCTGCAACCGAGGTACATGCCCTTGACTGGGAATCGAACCCGTGACCCTTCGATCTGAGGGCTGACGCTCTAACCATTGAGGCAAACCAGCCAGGGCCACAGTTCATTTTTAAGGATGAAAAAAAAAAATAGAAAATTCAAAAAGTGGCTAAAAACTATTTAATAGAAAATATAAGAAAAAAAAACATGGATGTTACGGGTTAAATACTCTCAATGTATATATATAAAATTATTTGTGCCATCAAAATAACTTAAAAAAACACCATGACACGGTCTGGCTTGCATTGCGAGGTGCACCCCTGGCTTGAAATCAAGGAGTAGCCAGACCTTTCTTTTCTAAAGTTTAAATAGAAGCGCTGCGTTTTCCTCTGTGTGTGACCGTGTCTAAATGTCATTGTCAGCCAGGCCAGGGTGGCTCAGTGGTTGAGCGTCAACCTATGAACCAGGAGGTCACGGTTGCGGGCTCCATCCCCAGTGTAGGGCGTGCAGGAGGCAGCCGATCCATGATTCTCTCTCATCATGGATGTTTCTCTCTCTCTCCCTCTCCCTTCCTCTCTGACATCAATAAAAATATATATTTTAAAACATTGTGACTTGGTACATCCCATCACATGTTTTCTATTTCATTCTACTTTTCCTTTCAACAGATTTTGGTCACCTCCCTGCAGACACACTTCACCGCCCACTGACGGGCCCGAAGGATGTCGGCAAACCCCTGCTCTCCGCGTCTGTCCGCCTGTCCGCCTGCCCTGTGAAGCCCAGTCTCCACCCCACAGGCCCCGTGCTCCCATGCCACCTCCGGCTCATTCCCAGCTGGTGGCAAAAGGACTTTCCGACCCCCAGCCGCCCGCCGGAGGCTGGCCGGGCCCCGGTGCGGCCGTACCTGGAGGGAGGGTCTCCATGTTCTGTCCTTTCTCTTCCATGTTGCTGTGGTGCAGGTCTTTCTTCTTAATCGGGTCAATGTCATTCCAGTCCTCCTGGGGGAACACAGACACCCAGTGAGTCACGGGCTCCTCAAGCACAACTCCGTCCTCCAGGCCCCCACACACGGAGACTCGGGAGGCCCATGGCCCTGGGGACGCGATCATGAGACGAACTCCATCTCATCTCCTCCAACTCCGGGACCTGCACCCTGACAACCTCTCCGAGGTGCAAGGGGAGAAAGTGTGGGAATAGCTTTTCTAAGAGAGGATTTGCAGTTCTCCTTTCATTTTATAATTGTCCTAGAGGCTCGATGCACGAATTCGTGCACCAGTGGGGTTCCTCGGCCTGGCCTGCGGGATCGGGCCGAAACCGGCTCTCCGACATCCCCCAAGGGGTCCCAGATGTGTCCAGCTGTCTTGCTCAGTCCTGATCGGCCGGACCCCAGCAGCAAGCTAACCTACCAGTCGGAGCGTCTGCCCCCTGGTGGTCAGCGCACGTCATAGCGAGAGGTTGAGCGGCCTTAGCATATCATTAGCATATTCACTCTGATTGGTTGAACGGCTGACTGGACGACCAGACACTTAGCATATTAGGCTTTTATTACATAGGATTGTGTATCTATGGGACAGAAATACTCTGCACACTCCCAGGGGTTTGAGGGTCTGTGGGAGTTGGGGAAGGGAGTAGGGAAAGTGGATTAAAGAAAAGAATTTAATGTGCTTCAATTAAAGCCATTAACATCAGGGCAGCTCTGCAGACATCTTCGATGGCTTCAAGGACGCCCTCAGACTACCATGTCCTCAAGGCCCTCCTGAGGCGGTGAGATGATTTAATTCCACTGAGTAACAGCGGAGGGAGGGCCAGGACCCCCGGAGCCCTCCTAGGCCTCTCCTCTAATAGGACCGCCAACGGGACGCATCTGCAAATGAAGGGGCTTGCTGTGAACCCGGAATAAGATACAAGCTCTGGCAGAATTTATCCAGGTCGTCTGCACAAACCACTGACTCTATCAACACGAAATCAGAGTAAACAACAAGTGCATGAGCACAGAGCTAGCGATCTTCTCCCATCACTCGGAATCTGACTCCCGTGAACACAATAGCAGCTAAAAGGTTTCTGTCTACAACCCAAGTCGGAACTACCCCGCGGCTGGTCACTCGCCCACACAGACCTCTGGGAGCCCAGTGCAGGCGACTGGCCGTCTCCCCGGGCGGGTGCTCACAGGATGGTCTGCAGCACGAAGCCCCCCTTCCCCCCCACCCCCCGGCAGGGCAGACCCTGCCAGCTGTGCGGGCTGGTCAAGGGCCATTCCCTCCGCCGTCCGACAGGGGCCGTGTGCTGTGTGATGTGCATGGGCTGACCACTGGCAGCTTTGGGGCTCTTTAAAACGTAAAGGGAAGCCCGGCGGGCCTGACTCAGGGGTTGAGCATCGACCTGTGAACCAGGAGGTCAGGGTTCGATTCCTGGTCAGGGCACAGGCC